TGCTACGCATTTGTACGACGGAGACAACACATGCGGGTGTGGCGTCCTCTTAAGGTTAGCTCCCAAATTAATTAACCAACATATTTATCCAAATGCATTCCAGAAGATGCCTGTATATCTGGCAGCCCAGTTGTTTAGTGCCACAGTTGGAGCTGGCTTGGAAACATATTTAGCCTTGAATAAACTTCCTTCTGATTCAAGGCCTACAATTGAATTTATAGAAAATATTGATAAATTATTTGACATTTTTAATTCTTATAAAAGGCCTAATTCTAAAGATTATAATAGACCATTTATAAATTCTCAACTTCAAAAATSACACCTATTATTTATGGAAAATTTTTTTACATCTTTAATAGTTTTAGATAGAAATAATAAAAATGTAACTAACAAAATGAAGATTATAAGAGRATGGTTAGTTTCTATTGCTAGCTTAAATTTATTGTGGCAATCCTTATCTTCTATAAATATCAGACAAAATTATGTTTTATTCACAAATAGGATAAATCAAGATTGTCTTGAGAACTTGTTTTATACCTTTAGGTAGAAACAAGGAAATAATTTCAACCCAACTCCTGTAMAATTTTATKATTMATTTAAAAACATATTTTGCTTGAATTATTTTAAACATTCCGACAATGCTAATTGTTTACAAGATTTTGATGACATTTTATCAGAAATTTCAGATCCTACCAATACCGAGGTACAAAATATTATGTTTCCAGATAAAATTCCATTTAAATTTAAAACTTCAATACCAGTAGCATCTGTTGATTATMGGGATTTGGAATTGCCTGAACAAAATGTACTGACCTATATTTGTGGCTATTTGATTAAAAAATGTTTGGAAACACATGTTTGTGACATTTGTATAAATTATGCAAAATTTCAAAAAAATGTAGAGCCATCTTTTTTATTTTCTTATTTTAAAGCYTATGAAAATTCTGAAAAATCCACTTTTGGAAACCTAATGATGCCTCATTCAGAATTTTATAACTACATAAACAGTTTTTATTAATCGTTTCCCTATTTTAGCAGCTGAAAATAAGGTAGGTGAAAAATTAAAACTAAGCATGCTATCAGTTTATTATTCTCATCCATGTGAAAATTTTAATATAGAATATCTTTTAAATTTATTTATAAGATTCAGAATTTTTTCATCAGTTAAATTTTTAAATAAAGAGATGGTTACTGAAAAAGTTAAGAAAAATAGAAAATTGGCAACATTAAAACATTTATAATTATTATTTATTGATTATTAATTATCATTGTTTTGTGTTTTTATGTATCAATATGGATAAATAATATGGTCTACACAATTTGGAGCTGACTGAAAATAGTGGATTTATAGCRCATCACAATATTAAAATAATTATATTATGTCTAAATTTAGTTTTTGTATAATAATTTATTTATAGGAACTAATGCAGTATAGTTACCGGCAATTTTTTTAATTGTTTTTTCTAAATGTGTGTTCATGATTAATTTTATGGTACTTTTATGTTATGGTCAAAAAACTTCCAAAAGTTAGGAAAACCAAAAAATCTTTGTAATATTGTTTCTAGAGTAT